TCAGTGATATGAGGTGGGCTGCAGGATTGCCAGTATGGGCAAGTGACACTGGCATGCTGGCTTGTGCAACCAGCAGCCAAGAAAGCCCAGCCCTGGCTGTCCTGTGGACCATGGGCTTGCCAGGCCACCACTTAGCCCCAAGGACCACATCCTTCTTATCTAACTGGCGGGTTAGACTGATGAACTCGTGGCACATGGCACAATTTGGTTCTTGCGCAATGATCAAGTGAAAGTCCTTCTGATCCCTCCATGACTGTTTTCTGCTCTAGGGACATGCGAATAAAGGACTGCCAAGAATGAGTTATCACTGAAATAGACCCGAAGAGCAAACCACTGTCATTGATCCTCCTCATCTATGTCAGAATGCTACAGCTCATCCCTGGCCTGATCCCAGACCTGATGCTCAGCCTGCTGCAGGAGGCACAGGCAGCGTTTCTGTGTAGCACATGAGGAAGGGCAGCATCCAGAGGCTAGAGAGTTCCTGTTTGAGGGTGGTGTGCCGCAGTCTGGCTGGGCACAAAATAACCGAGCTGCCACACAGCCTTGGAGGTTCAAAACAGGAACTCCTTTATTCTCTGCACTCCCCCAACACCACGCATGTGGCCTTCCCCTGGGCAACACCACACACCAACCGGAAATCCTTCCTCCAGAAAATCCCTCCCCAACCAACGGGAACTCTCCGGGAATCCCCTGGAGAACTCCAAAGTAGCAGGCTGAGGTGGACAGCAGGGGTCTAATATGCAACTGAATACACAGCTTAACATATCCATTATCATCTCAATGGCTTGCTGGCATCACCTCTCAACCACTCTGTTCTGGCAAAAATGCCATGTGTCATTCTGACTCAGCTATGGCTCTCAGCAGTGGTGATTGTAGATGATATAGATGTAGGAAGCCAACACCAGTAATTTACAGATATGTAAATGAAATAAACCCAAATATCTGAAGGTCACACACTTGGAGGTACAAAGAAAGAAAGTGGTCATTCAGATTTAGAATGATCATCCTTTGGCACCTCCTGCTGACCCTACAGCAGAAAACTGAACCAACAATGGATTTGTCCAAACACCTCCCTTCCTTTCCCTCTAGTAGTCCTTCTATAGTGCCCTCCTTTCTGCACACAGGCACTCCACAAACACACACCACACACACGCATGTGCATGCCTCACCCCCCCACAAGCAGGTACACACACACACACATACACACACACACAGTTGTCAGCAATGGATTTCAGTGTCAGATACTGAAAGTTAAAAGTACAGAGCCCTTAGTATTTGCACTTAAATGAGAAGGAAAAAGGAAAAAGCTCACTAACATTAATGAATAGGCTGGGCAGAGGCAGGGAGGTCCACGATGCCTGGAAGCATCAGGCTTCGCGCACTGGCTTTTATATGGCAATTCACGCCAGTATTATACCCCTAACCCAGATACAAGACAGTGAAGGAACCCAGGCAGAGCACAGGGTGGCCTGCTATAGCCTTATCTACGCGGCACGTGACTGGGCTAGGCTCTACCTGCACCTGTCCAATGCTGAGCTGCTGCACCAAGGACCTGAGCCCTGAGGAGGGATAACAAGGCCTAGAGGCCCACAGCTCTTCTTTACCCCAGGAGAATCTGCCAGTTCATTAGTGACTAGCCCAGGCAGGTACGGTTCAGTCTGAAAAGAGGAGCCCACCTAGATATTTCCAACAGAGGGAACTTAGCCCAGAACTGGATCTCACGAGTGCTGGAGCTGATGAGAAGCCACACGGGGAGGTGAGCCAACCAATGCTTCGCCACAAGAGGAGGGTCCCACGTCCTGGTGGTGGGGAGGAGAAGGGAGGAGGCAGTGGGACCACAGGGCCCTGTGACCAGGCACCAGTAAGATGGGACCACTGCAGCACTCCCTACAGGAGCCAGGGTCCTGGAGGGAGGGCTGAGGGGACTAGGGAGAGGGAGAGGGAGAGGGAGAACTGCCCGGCTTCCCTGTCCTTCCCCAGGCACCAGTGTCCTGCCAGGGCCTCACAGGTCTGAATCAACCCAGAATTCAGAGGCTAGATGGTCCCCACAATACAGAATTGGGCAGGGAAGAGGGGGAAGGACAATAAAATGGAGAACACAGCTGAGAGAAAATGGCAGCTGACTAATGAAGTCTGAGGGTGCACCCCAAAGGAGGCCAGCCCTGAGGCGCTGTGGAGCACCAGAGACCAGAGGCCCCCTCGAAAACACGGTGCTGAGCGAGCGTCACCTCCCCTCTCCACTTGTCCAATCTCTGTCTCCTGGCCTTCTTCCTCGTAAGGCCCCTCCCTCTCCTCCTCATGGCTCCTCTGATTATTCTGGAAGGCTTTGGCAGTTTGGCTGGGTTTTGTTTAATTGGTCTGAATTTGCAGAGAACTGCCTGATTTCCAGAGCCAGGCTGATCCCAGAGAGGAGGCCTGGTGCCTGGCAACCACCTGCTCTGGGGCCATTTGTGAAGGAAGGTCAGGGCCTCACTTACACCCTCTGCATGTGCAGCCCAGGCAGCGCAGCCTGTGAGAGCAGGCAGCCAGGCACCGGGCAGGGCACCCGCCATCACTCTGATCATCAGAACATGAGCAGGGTGCTGCTGGGCTGAGAGGAGATGCTCCTAAATATTGCATACCCTGAGTTGAACCTTGATAGCAATTAGTGCAAGACAGAAAAACCCGAAATAAAACAGTGTAACAGTGAGCTAGACTGGAAACAGAAGAGAGGGAAATGCAAAGTTAGAAAATGAGTTTGTAAAGTCTCCAGAAAAAGTCCTTTCATGTGAGAAATAACTCAATGATAAGAAATAAAGAACAGAAGGCCACAGGAGCTCAGGCACCAAGGCAAGACAGTGATATGGAGAATCTGAGCAGAACCGATCAGATCACTGATGTCCCAGTAAGGTCAGGAAGACACCAGAGAATCAGGGTGCCAAGGAGCTTTCAGGGAAGCCTCCCCAAATAAGCTGAGACTTACAGGCCAGTGTCCTGATAGGAATTCCTCCGACTACCACTGGCGAAACCTTGGCTGCTCTTTGATCCACAGTAGCTGCTCTGAGTCACCTCGGGAACTAAGGCCAGGAGGGGGACAAGCCCACAGCAAGTGGGCAAGTGACTATGCTGGGAACCTGAGGTTGATGAAGTCTTCTGAAATTTGGAATTGCTGCCCATTGGTGACTTATTGTTAAGTACTGCTCCCTGGGATCTTGCATTTCTAAAAATACTATTTGCTTTTTATTTAACACTGAACCTTTGATGGTTTAGAATATAAAAATAGTGTCTTATTATTTTAAAAGCTTAGGAGAGAAACTAGCCGTATTATTAGAAAAAGAAGATATACGCAGCTATAGTCTGTTCAAATATCAAGAGGTGTGACTTTTCAAACCCACATTTCAATCTTTATTTACATAAGACTTTTAGAAATAGTGGGTGTAAATATTAAAACGCCTGAGCCTGGGTGAAATTTTATTGAGAATAACTACAAATAAAAGGAAACTGATTTTTTAAAGTCAGTTTCTGAAATTTAGATGAAAAGAATATTCAGCATTAACCAAAAATGATATTTACATATCAATGTAGTTTTTCTGCTCATAGACTCATTTCCTATGAAACTAACAGAGAGGCAAGCTCGGGGAATTACAAAGGAAGGAAAAACCCTAATCAAACAGGTACTGTTGTTCTAACAGGATATTAGCCAAAATGATCCAATCAGTTGCTTGAGCTAAATTTTTTTCTTTGAGCCATTCATGCCAGAATACAACCTCTGAGAGCATTAGGAATCCACATTGCATTCCAAGTGTTCGTCTCTAACAGATGGGGGGATTTGAAAGATACAGTCCATGGAAATGGGGCAACAAGGAAGGGTACCAGTCAGTCACTAGCACACAGGTAATTAAGCTATAATGGGGTCCTGCTTTGTATTTATTTGTATTCCAGGGTATACTTGGCAGCTATATGAATCAACCTAAATGCTAAATTCAAATTGCTAGATGTTCAGTTTCCCCACAATTCAGAATTATGCAACATAACATGAAAATTTTCCCAAAAAGCACAAAAAGAAACAAAAGTACACCTTGAAGGAAGGAGTTCTACATCAAACTTTGTTTTGGTATTTGTCTAATGACTTAGCATAATCAGAGGTTCACATGAATGACAGCTGTCATGGTGTTAGGTCTTCATTTAAACAGCATCAATGTGTCTGCCTCTGTAAAACAGCCTGCAACATGTCAACTAAATCTCCATAACTCACAGTCTTACTCTCTCACATACCAAAAACAGAGTAATGCACTTCTCTGAAGATCTTTAGGGGGCAATCTCAGAAATACACACACACACACACACACACATTCCTGATTTCTGTGTGGAATTTAAATACGATTCTATTTTATTACAATATTAAGATTTCAGACTTAAAATAAAAAAACCCAAGAATTATAGAGGTTATCAAAAACATATTAACTTGTTCTTAGAGTAAGTTCAAAATTAATAACAAAGGTATTATTATGCTAATATATACTTTATGATATTCTGCCCCATAGAGGAGACTGAGAATTGAATCTGGCAATTTTTGACCTCCCTTTACTTTAAATTTATGGTGTGAACACGGTGTTTCCTTCTGAAATATATGATTTATGTAAAGTTCATAGAAACACACAAGGAAAACTTAAAAAGAAAAGAAAAAGGATAATGTTGATTCTTAATTTGGGCAGTAAATAATATGGTCAGGCATGTTCTTAAAGATGTCATTATAGGACTCTCTATTTCAGCCAATTAGAGTAGCTCTTCCCTTCCTACAAACTGCTATTTAGGAAGAATTTTAAACGAATTTGTAATTTCTACCTCTGAGCTGAAGCTGGAAACAAATTCGTTTGTTCCCCAATAGAATGCTAAGAAAAGCTCAGATCCACCATTACCTTTATCTACCTCCCTCATTCCTCAGACCTGCGGCTGCAGGTTTTATGGATCTAATATTTAAGAAGTCTATCTCTTATGTCACAGGAGGTTAGTGAACTTACAGATTCCCCCGCGATACATCTTGGGCAAGGCTGGGCTGAGCTTCTTCCACCATTTTGAGAAATCTATTTAACAAATCACAGGCACAAATGGATCAGAACAATGATTATTTACAGTTTTTATTAAAATATTTAAATGGGTTCAAAACTGGTTTGGTCATGGGAACATACCACTGAGCGTGGTCTGCCCTGGGCACCTTCTGGCCACTGTGTAGAGGGGCAACCTCTTGATTGAGGCCCCTGGTCCTCTGTGCTCCAGGACACCAGGGTGCATGTGCTCTCCTGGTGGCAGCCAGTCTCCTGCCTGCTGGCTTCTGACCTCCGGCATGCCCGTTTCTGAAACAAACAGAACTTCACTCGAGATGGCCTCATAAAGCACACAGCACTAATTGAATTTGCTTTCAGAAAACTTCAGCTCCAAATAAAGACCCCTGTGGAGCCGGAAAACTTTATAGGACATTTGAGGAGATGACTTTAAACTTTATCTGCTCAGGAATAACAACTATCAATTACATTTAACCTTATTATTTCTAGCATTGTCTGATGGTTACTTAGCCTCATAGATTTAACATAGTCATTTTAAACAATTTTGGCCGAAACTCTTGTAATAAACTATTGTGACTGGTTTATTGAAAATGTGCAAAACCTATAAATTTTGTTCAAGAAACTAGTTATATGCTTCAACACATTTTGTTTAGTATCAAGTTACGTACTTCTTAACACAATATGAATAATTCACATGTGAATAACTCTCTGTCTTACTGGCACTGAAGAGCAAATTAATTTTATTGATTTCAAAATCTGCACACACAGTCCATAATGGGTAACCTCGGGAAAAGACAGTCTTTGGTTTTTGCTTCCACATAAACTGAAGAAAGTAATTACAAAAGTAATCTTCCAATGCTAATGAAAACAGTATTCCACCCCAATGTCCCAGACTTGATGCATTTCCAGGGTCACGAAGTTTTGATGGACATAGCATTCCAGAGGGAGGAGGACCTCTGTAAACAGTTACCCAGTCCCCTCATGGTCCAGTGCCAATGTCCCCCTAGAGAGCAGCGGTGGTCACCCTGGAGGTCTGCTGCTGGACACTTCTCAGGTGCAGTCTGCTGGTGTCACCCCAATATCTAATTGCTTGCAAACCACGGTCTTTGCCAAATTTGGTTTTCACCAATGTTGTTTAATATCTATAGCATTATTTATTTTATACAAATATATTACTTAACATGAATAATTACTTGTTGCACTTAATGGATTTATTCAACAGAGAAACCATATATCATGGGTTTAAAGTGCTAGTTTTGCCATTTTCTAATATGCTCTTAAGGAAATACTTAAGGATTGAAATTAAAAATGCTGAACTCTGAACTACCTACATTAAATCCTTGGCATAGGCAGACCCTGCCTCCCAGGAGGTGGGGAGGACATGGGCAGCTGCCCAGCTTGCTGACCTCCCCACAGTCCTTACAAAAAGGACATGAAAAAAGACAGCGGGGAAGTGAGTTCGGCACCTAGGCCTACCCTTGGCCAAGCTGGATGATAAGGAGTGCTGAAACCTGACAGGACTCTGGCGCCAAGAGAAACACCACCAAACCCCAGTGTGCGTGTTCCCTCGCGCTGTCGGCCCACACCCTGCTCAGGCCTTGGGGTCAGCTGGCAGAGGCAGAAGCACGGACCTAAGCTGACCCCAGAAGGTCTACCCACAAGGATGAAAAATAGAGAGGCTACTCCAGACAGGCTTAAATACAAATAATCACTAGAAAATACACCCAAAATTTTTAAATTTCAATGAAAGAGTAAGGAATATGCATCTCATAGAGAAAGAAACAGAAAATGTAGCAAAGTATATATGATTATAAAATATAGGGTTGCAAGTACACATGCCAGTCATATCAATAAATATGAACAGCCTTGGGGCTGGAATGTAGTCAGTACTCGAGTGCTTGTCTGGCATGCCTAAGTCCTTGTTCAATCCCCAGTACTGAATCAAAAAATTTTTAAAAATATGTGTGTGTGCGTCTACATATGTGTGTACATAGGTGTGTGTATCCACACATATCAATACTGAAGTGCATGTGTGTGTGTGTGTATGTGTGTGTGTGAAATAGGTTTGACTCACCTGTGACATGAAAGGGCTTCTCCTTGGGCTCACAGAGTGGACCCAACACATGCTGCCTCCAAGGAGCACACTCAGATACAGTGGTGCTGACAGGCTGAAGATGAAAAGATGGACAAGGTCTCCAGCAAGGCACGCAGGAGGAGCAGGAGGGGACCCTTTTTAATACTAGAAGCCACTATTCATGTGACAGTCTGACACTCACGGATGTCTACAGACCGAGTAACCAACCACCACCTTAGGAAGCAAAGCGTACAGGAGATGAAGCAGACAGAAACACACCCAAGGAGGCTCAGACGAGAGGCCATCCTCTCACCAGACCATCAGTGTGCAAAGAGCAGTCAGGACTGGGAGAGTGGCACACAGGCAGAGCATGCAGGCGGCCCTGGGTCCCATCCCTGGTGCCACAGAGAGACAAGAAAACAAACTAACCCAAACCACCATCACCAACAACATATAAGTGGGAGATACAATATTCCAAGGTCACACTCCACCAAGGCTTATCGTGAGGATCTAGGTGGAATGCCACATCCTGATGAGGGCACACGTTCTCCTCAGGGTAAGGCAGCTCACAGCAGCCCTCAGCAGTAGAGGGACAGCACAGCCTTCTGAGGGCAGCAGCACTGTACACAGCACCTCTGGTCACAGTAGGGACAGCACAGCCTTCTRAGGGCAGCAGCACTGCACACAGCACCTCTGGTCACAGTAGGGACAGCACAGCCTTCTGAGGGCAGCAGCACTGCACACAGCACCTCTGGTCACAGTGAATGGACTGATTTCAACAAAACAGCAGGAAGATTTAAAGTCCTACAATTAAGTTATGTGAAAGAGGAAATGTAAACTAAAAAGTACAGAATTAAAGCAGTTACAAGAAAACACTATATGGCAGAATCTATAAGACACATTTAAAGCAATAATCAGAGAAAAAAATCACTGCGCTAACATTTTTATCAGGAAAAATGAAAAAAATGAGTTAAGCATTCCCAAATCACAAAAAATAAAAGAAGAACAAGAAAGTAGACCAAAGGCAAACACAAGGAAGGAAATAATGAAGAAAAAAGTTAAATTAACGAGGTAGAGAATAAAAAAACAATATATCCAATGAATAAAATCTAAATCCTGGTGTGGGAAGTAAATAAAATAGACAAACCACTAGCTAATCTGATCAAAAAGAAGGGGGAGAGCACAAATACTTAAAACAAGAAATGCCAAAAAATATCCAAAGAAACAGAAGAGGTTTAAAAGCATAAAGAGAACTTTGTAGACCTCTATGCAAATACATTTGAAAATGCAGATGAAGCGTATGACTTCTGGAGGAAATCCACATGATCCAAAGGGACTCCATTAGAGTCAGAAGCTGAAGCGGATCACTCCCAGGTTCACTTCCATGGAAGAAACAAAAATTAGTAAGCAACCACAGAGAAATGAGGGCCAGGGCAGCTCTCTGTACAAATGCCTCCAGGGCTCTGAGAAGGAAGGGAAACACCCTACCCCTGGCTGGGACTGAGGCAAGGAAGACATATCCCCACCCTTAAGATTTTTCTTTTTTTTAAATTTTGAGATAGGGTCTTGCTAAGCTTCTAATGAGGGCGCTAAGTTGCTGAGGCTGGCTTTGAACTTGCGATCCTCCTGCCTCAGCCTCCTGAACCACTGGGATTACAGGTGGGCACCATCACACCTGGCTCCAGGACTTTTCTCTTAACCATGATAAAAATACACATACCTTAATCCTAAATCAGTATTCCTACTAAGGTTGAGGGGAAGGGAAAGAGGTCCCTATCCCCATGTCTTTTCACACTGTACTAGAGTCTGACCTGATATGAGAGGAGAGAAATCAGAGGCAGAAGGAATAAGTACTAAAACTATTGCTGTTCACAAATGACATCATAATAGACATCTGGATATCCCAGGAAATCAACGATAAAACTAACTCAAACCACATGAGAACTCACCAATATAAAATCAGTATACTAAAATCAATAGCTTTCGCCAAGTATGGAAATGCATGCCTGTAATCCCAGTGACTTGGGAGGCTGAGGGAAGAGGATATCAAGTTTGAGGTCAGCTTCAGCAACTTGGTGAGATCCTGTAATCAAAAACTAAAAAGGATTGGAGATGTAGTTCAGTGGTAAATCCCCTGGGTTCTATCCCTAGTATCAAAAAGAAAAATTAATTAAAAATCAGTAACTTTGGGCTGGGGATATGGCTCAAGCGGTAGCGCGCCTGCCTGGCATGCGAGCGGCCCGGGTTCGATCCTCAGCACCACATACAAAGATGTTGTGTCCGCCAAAAACTAAAAAAAATAAATAAATATTAAAAAATTCTCTCTCTCTCTCTCTCTCTCTCCCCCTCCCTCCCTCTCTCTTAAAAAAAAAAATCAGTAACTTTCAAATACAAAAAAAAAAAAATAAACCATGAGAGAAAATCCAGTTTAAAATGATTGCAATGGGGCTGGGAATGTGGCTCAAGTGGTAGCGCGCTCGCCTGGCATGTGTGTGGCCCGGGTTCGATCCTCAGCACCACATACAAATAAAATGATTGCAATGGACTAAATATTTTAAAATTAAATCATTTGACAAGTATTGCATGAAATGTATATAGGTGAACTTAAGGCATTCTTGAAATACACAAAAAAATATTTATGTGGGCAAATGAAAAGACATTCCTTGGGTTGGGGATGTAGCTCAGTGGTAGAGAACTTGCCTAGTATGTGTGAGGCACTGGGTTCGAGCCTCGGTACCACATAAAAATAAATACATAAAAATAAAGGTATTATGTCCATCTACAACTAAAAACAATATAAAAAAATAAAAATCCTATTCTTGGATAGGATGACTTGGCATTACCAAAATGACAGTTCTCCATAAGTTAATTTGTAAATTTAATGTAATACCAGTAAAACATCAATAAACTATTTCATAATTATACAAATTGATACTAAGGTCCCATGGAAGAGCCAGCCTGCAAGTATAGCCAGAGGAACCTGGAAAAAACGCTACTGAACAGGAAGAGTGCCAGGAAGATGACAATACACAGGGTGGTGGCGGGTCGGCTCACACGTGAACACACAGTCCAGCGGACAGCACGAGGAGTCCAGAAGGGAACCCGGTGAGGGGGAACTTGGGCATTTCAAACCACGGGGCTGAATGTGGGCTTTTTAACAAATGAATGGTGCCATGAAAACTAGGTAGCCATTTGGAAAAAGAAAAAAATTAGACCT